AAATTGTCAGACAGTCCTGCCTCAAAATGCATTCATCCTCAATCCTCCAAAATCCTCCTCATCCCAAAACTTTGCACTCGTGTTTAAATGAAGGATAACCAACGCCAAATCCTTCAAAATCATCAGACAGTCCTGCCTCAAAATGCATTCATCCTCAATCCTCCAAAATCCTCTTTTGCTTCATTCACCATTCATCCTAAATCCTCCAAAATCCTCATGTGCTTCAATCACCATTCATCCTCAATCCTCCAGAATCCTCATTTGATTCAATCACCATTCATCCTCAATCCTCTAGAATCCTCCAAAACCGCCAGGAGGATTTTGGAGGAGTGAGGTGGGTTAGGGTTAATGCCCAAACTCACGTTTATTCTGCAGAATTTTGCTATAAATGAACGAACGCTGAGCTCGTACATTGTATACATGTACCATTATTTTTAAGATTATCGACGGCAAATATTTTGATAATACTTAAGGCTTGTTTTTGTCATTTTTTGAGGCCCTTTTTATGTAGCTTTCGTAGTGCAATGGAAATAGTTCAGGCTGAAAATTTTCATATAGGCCCTAATTTTAACGAATCTGAATACTTAGTATTCAGTTGCTTTATGTGCCGTTTATTAACTCCATTTTCCAAGTACAATTAAGTGATGAACCAACTGACAACTGTATTAAAAAATGAAAGCGTAAGCCATGTAAGCAGTAGTCAAACCTTTCATTAATCTCCATTAGTTATTTTTTTAAAATAAATTTTACTTTGTCTTACTTTTTACAGTTACAAAAACGAAAGAAGTAACACCACTTGAGCATATTATTATGCAAAAACTAATAATAATGCAGCCCCTTGAATAAATCCTGATATTCAAAACAAAACAAAAACAATGTTAATCCGTCATTTCACCGCTGTTTATCCATGGATTTTAAGGAGAGCGATTTGCTCTCCTCAAAGATTTGAGGAGAGCGATTTATAGCTCTCCTGGATTTTCTTTAAATGAAGGACTGCTCAAGGGAATGGATTCTTTGTTTGTCTTAACAGTTGTTTTGAGTTATCAGATTTTGACTTATTGAGATTTCACCATCATTTCACTTTTCTGCTTTGTTTGGACAAAAGATCTAAGTGCTACATCACGAGGGGAAAATAATCCAGAATTTTGCTTCTTTTTGGGGTGGGGCAAAATGTTCAAACAGTGGGAGGCAAAAGACGTAAACAAAAAATCTAGTTCTAACAGGCAATGTTGGTGTTTTTTTTCCATCCAATGAGTGTGTCATGGGGATAGGCAGAAAGTTTACATGTCAAATCAAAACTAATATCCCCCTTCTTCCGGCATTTCAGTTGTTTTTCCTAAAGGGGGGGCATATCTGGCATATGAACAAAAGACCAACAATCCAACCAAAATTTGGATTTTTTAAGATGTTAAATCAACAAACATCTAGAAAGCTTGTTATTGTTCCTATGAAATTTAAGATGGTACATGTATGTCATTAGTTTCAGGCGTAAAAGTACGTTTTCAAAAATTAGGAGGAAAAAGAATGATTTCACATACATGTAAAAGGTCAAATTTCTGTCATTTCTTTTGTCTGAAATAGGTGAAATAATGCATTATACAGTCGACTCTCGTTAATTACGAGGTCCTTGGGACTATTGACAATATCTTGTATTATCCGACACCTCGTCTTAAGCGACAAGTATTTTCGGGCACTCGCCGACATGCATCATGGAACGTTTATGTAGCTAATGCATAGGCCACATGCTCGTGTTGAAATTGTAATGAATTTGCCTTCAAAAAGTTAAATCATGTTCTCAATGAAATTGTGAGGAATAAGAAATGAAGTCACGACAGTACATTGTATGTATCAGTAAAACTTGTATGGTAATTGAGAAGAATAAAGACAAAACAATAAAATGACTTTCAACCCAACAACACGGCAAGCGGAATCGTCGCCACCTGCGTACCGTATCGATGCAATGTCACCTACCCGAACTTGTAGTTTACGGGAATTGATAGAATAATCCAGGATCTTCATTTTATCTCATGTGAGCAAATCAAGTGACCTTTCCTTTCGGTCCAAACTGGAAGTAACTCAAAGTGCCTTGTATTAATTTTAAAATGGGAAAAGATGTGAGCTTGCTTGCAACGATTTTATAGTCTGTGGCTAGATTGTACTTTACAAAACAAATTACCGCTGACGTCATAACATGTTAGAGCACCCTCTAGAGGCAGGTTGAAAAAAGTTAAAATTAATTTTCAGTCGATGTCAGTGGCAAAGTTTGCGGTAATCACTTCAAAATTGGTGTATGTAGTGACCTCAATGCAGACAACACCTGTGCGCGAAAAAAAAAATATGATGACATCATCAGACCGGAATTTATAATGCAAAGACCAATTTTCTTTGAAAATTCCTGAAAATCAACCCTGAGAGTTTTTATATTAGTTCCTGCTTTAAATGTCGATCTAAGGGTAGGTCTAAAACATTTGTATGTTTCATGGCAATAAGCGAACTTAAACATGCCCTGGCATGCTTAAAATTTTAAGTTCACTTTGTCTCTGCTTTAAAACATAATGCACGGCACGACACACGAAGAACATGTACTGTACGTGACATGTCAGCTCGCAGCGCACGCATTAAGGTGGTCCAATCACAACCTTTATCTGCAGGGCTACATCAGGAATCGGCCACGAGACTTACATGTTATTGCGAGAATAACAGATTTACATAATGCATAGTCAATTAGGTTTTATTTATTGAAAAAAAAAGCATGATGCGAAAAAGCCCTATGCTCCGTTAATTGAACAGACATAGCTCTATAATTTACCACTTATACTGCCATAGCCAAATACAGAAAGAAATTGACAAGACTTTGAATTAATGGCGAAATGTCTAATTGTTTTCCCCCACTTTGTAAAAATTATAAGTAGCAACTCTTCAAAATGGACGCCCCGTCTACAAAAAAAGATCAGGGAAAAATGGTATAGATGTACCGGTATGTATTCAATTGTACACATTATTTTGGCTAAACAAGCAATGCAAAAAAAACCTCACTGTATAAACATTATAAAATTTCCGGATATAAAGCCATTGGACCTTTACTTGTGGTGTTTATACCGAGAGTGCAATGACAATTGAATATAGCTTGAAAATGGAAGCATTTTACTGCAATAAGAACAAATTATGGAAATATTCAAGACGTCGTTGAACTGGAAATAATGTCAAACTGGTCTAAGTGTACAACGCTAGAACTCTTTTTTTTTTCAAGTTTTGTTTTGGGCTGGTCATACAAATATTCTATTCCCTTGCACGGCAAGGATCTATGATATGCGAGCAGATTCTGCGATTAAATGCAACTAAACTGCATCTTGACCATTGAGAGGGCACATTGAGTTCTACCCTACATCCTACCTGCGACATGTGAATTGTGTTAGTTAAAATTATAGGCTGCGTCACACGGCCTGAAACGATATGTTATGTGATGCGCGTATGTCTTGTGGCTTCGAATGATCATCACATAGGCGTAATATTTAAAATAATGCACTTATTGCCCCTCTAAAGCATCCACCTCAAACCCACAATGAGCGTTCTCATATAGTCGTGTTCCCTAACGTGGCGCACTTCGAAGCTTAAGTGTAGTGTTGCCAAACCTCTTTGTTGACAAACCTCAAATTCATGCAGTGAAATACTGGTACTTTTACCTTATTAATGCTTGCTGTTTAACCTCTGTGAACAATTTCGGTTTCATAAAATTTAAGCCGAAATTAAAAAACGGTGGCGTCCGGAAATTGGGCACAATTTGGCGGAGTGTTCCCTAACGTGGCGCACTTAAATAAATCTCGGAAAATTCCAAATTAACATTTAAGAATTTCTGTAAACTCGATAAATTCTGATAAATCATTATTATCTCTACCTACATACCCAGCCAGATGTTTGTCACAAAATTATGTTCTTATTTTTCGGGGCATTTTCAAAGGGTTCACTTTGCACTTGAAAATAAAATCGGAAAATCACGCCAAAATAATTTTTTCTTTTAACTTTGTAGCGGGTAAATAAACTCGCGATTTATGAACGGGAGTGTTTATAAATTGATGAAATTTCACTTTCTGTGAAATTTCAGTTAAAACTTTTGCTCTAGCTAGGCGCTACAGGCGAAAAATCAAAGTGCGCCACGTTAGGGGCCGCGCCACGTTAGGGTACATCAACAATATACGCGCAGTATTTGGCTAACAGTTTTGAGAGCCAATTAGGTTTTATTAGATCACTATGCCCATTGTTGTATTACAAAAACATGGCATCCAAATTGACCAATCAACAACTGAGATTTGAGAAACAGTTCCATTAAAAAACTTCCACTTTTGTTGGAAACTACTTTTGAAAATCGATGCATTCAACTTGACTGTCACTTTGTACACAGTGTGACGTCCGGATCTAGGCCAAGTACATTTTGTTGTAATTATTTCCTAGTTCTAGTTGGTTTATTAATTTTGTTTGGAAAGAATATTGCAGCCTGACGCCACTTTTTGCATCATCTCGATAAAGGACCGTCTATGCAAACATTTTGAAAGGACATGAATTTTGGACTGACAATTTACAATTTTGTTGGAAAATACTTCGAAATGCATTCAACTCTCCATAAACTTTGTACACAACCACAGAAGTGTCGTCAGGATACTACGTTCTTTCCGTTAGTTATTTTTGTTTTGTTTTTAGGGGGTTAGTTTGTGATTAGAAAAAGAAAGGAAACAAAACTTTATAGACATACGTTCAAGCATTGTTGGCGTAAAGTACTAGCATGGCGCAATAGGCTTTATACGTGTACAGACATGATCAATGAAAATGTGTGACGTTACTATGAATGACTTTCGTCGTACGTTAATTGTGTGTGGCAGTGACGAAATGTACGATACGTTTTTTGTTGTCTACTTTCTGCACTATGCGAACGTCTCAAACTGTAAAAACACACTGAATTTAATGCATTGTGCTTGTATATGTGAAAACTTGGAGAAAGAATTTACCCTTCCGCTGTAAAAATGTTGCAGAACTCGTCACCGTTCAGCTCTATTCCACCATAGTTACGACAGCAGTTCGACGACGTACAAGCACGGCAGCGATCTTGACTGAGCTAGATAGCTCCGATCCCCAGAAAGGTGAATGAGTCTGGCTGGTCATCAGAACGACACCTCATTGGTCAATAGAAAACCACATGACTTCATTAGTCAAAATGTCTTGTATTTGATTGGATAATACGCAGAAAACATCACGCGTAAACTGACGTAATTTATCCTGCCCGACCTTTAAATTATTTGCATAAATACTATTGTGTCGGATTTGCTCCTCAAAATGACGTAAGATTAAGACAAATGTGAAAAATATGAAGTGCATATGATTTAATTGCTCGTAAATGTTATATGATCAACGAATCCCAACAAATGTTTTGGTAGAAGGGACATTTTCCATCACTATCCACTCGACATAATGAGCATGACTGGGCCACGTTGATGTCATTCATAGCGTGAAATTTACATAATTTGCTACACAACCAATCAGCTTGCTGTATTGATTGAACTAAAATAGCTCTTGTTACCTGGCGTGGCACAGCTCTGCCGGGTGATTTTTTTTGGTAAACAAGCGTCACAGTTACAAATGCGGGGATTTCCCACAGATTGCGTATGACCACAAGAGAGCTAGTGCGCCAATCTTGTCACGGTGGGGTGCACTTTAATAGTCATAATAGTCAGGTGGATATTTAGGAGTGACACCTGAAAATTTTGTTCCAGCTATTTACAATTTATGCAAATCAGACACCTTTCCCAAAAGAATCTCGGGGTCGACCCTTCTATAAATATCTTCTGTAGGGCTATATATATTCCAAGTTAAGTGCTTTGGACCAGTCGGTCACGATCTTGACAACTTGGAAAAAGAATTGGCAATATGTCACGTCAGGCTTTATTTTCTTATCCGTCATAAATTAGTAATACTCTTACACGTGTTATTGCGAGAATAATAAGTATCATTTACATGACCTTAATCAAATGCATAGTCAATTAGGTTTTATTTATTGACAAAAAAAAGCATACAGTCTTTCAGCAATGAGAATTCATAACTTTTTTTTTCTTTTTTAATGATTTTGCCAAAATCATTTAAAAGAAAAACCAAACGAAGAAAACCCACAAAATTGGAGAGCAATATGATTGTAACTGCAACGGTACGGACGTAGGGCGCCCTCGGTCGACCGAGCTAGCGCTGGCGGTCGTCGATGCTGACTATGGTGACCGTTTAGCCGATTTTCGGCTAACTTCGACAGATTTTGTTGTTAAAAAAAACGAGTTTGACAGAAAATTTGACAGAATTGATTTTTTGGCAGATTTCTGTCAGAATTCTGCCAAAATGGTAATTTTGACAGAAAAACATAGCAAATTTGAAAGAAATGGTACGTTTGTTTCTAAAAGCTTCAGTCTTTCAAACAAACCCTTGCATTTAATGGGACAGGTTGGCTGGTCTCAGTGGCGACAATCGCTTCTCAAAAGTGGGGGGGGGGACATACCTTGATCAGAAATAATGCAAGCGCGAAAAATTCTGATTCTAGATGCTCATGTGGTGTGATCTGAGGCAATTTCTGACCACTTTAACCAATATTTTCTGAGCAAAAGATAATGATTTAAACATCATTTTCAAGGTTGAAGTCATTGAATAAGCTATTCTCAGCTAAAGGCGTGGGGTTCGGGGCGCGGCCCGCTTAAGGGCCCCGAAAAAAATTGATTCTATTTTGCTTTGTGGTGCGATCTGAGGCAATTTCTGACCACCTTAACCAATATTTTCCCAGCAAAAGATAATAATTTGAAAATCATTTTCGAGGTTGAAGTCATTGAATAAGCTTAGCTATTATATTCTAAGCTAAAAGCGTGGGGTTCGGGGTCTGAGGCCCCGAAAAAATTTGGATTCTAAATGCTCTGTGGTGCGATCTGGGGCAATTTCTGACCACTCCAATATTTTCTTAGCAAAAGATACATTGTAGTACATAATAGGGCCCTGTAAATGAGGCACGAGTTCAAAAATCTGGGGGGGGGGGGACATTTGATATTGTGTCCCCCACCCTTCATAAAGTGGGGGGGGGGGGGGGGGGGGGGAGGGACATGTCCCCCTGTCCCCCCCCCCCCCCCCCCCCCCCCAGGATTTACGCCCCTGGCTGGTCTATATGCTGAGGTTCACTGCGGGAACCGGACTTCGTCGTGACGCAAGTTGCGTTTTGCCTGAAACTTACGCGGTTTCATAACATGTTTATGTGACTATAGATTGTTTATAATGTAATTTGAATCTTAATTAAGGCAATACTACAACATCTGCATGCGATTTTAAGTGTTTATTGTGTAATTTGAGTAATTCTGAGGAATCTGGCAGATGTAAAATGTGACCGATTTTTGAAGTGCATTTAGCAGAATTTGGCCATGACCCTTCGGTCACTCTGCCGCTGACTAGTCTGGTACCTAGCGCCGCCCGCGCACCACTTTGCACATGCCACTGACAAGATCGACGGACCTTGTGAGCTGAGACTGTGAGAGAGACTGTTGTTTGTTGGTCTGGTGCCAGTGGTGGTATCTACAGTTATTAAAGTACTCGGTACTTGGTGAATTTCCTCCTAAGTCTAACAAGGTAAGATATATGATTTCTATCTCGGAAAGATTTCCGTACTACTGGTCTGGGCCACCACTGTTTTCAAGCGCCAAAAAGTTGCATCCCGGGCCTGGCTTTATCATGTTTATCAATATCAGGTTTAATGGTTCAATTTTCCCTTATCTACTCTCACCATGGAGGAAGGAACACAAACCCTCTCCTTTCCTTTATTCCTAATCCTATTTCTTAATCAGTTACTTACTTCATCGAGATTCGAACCTCTGACTCTCGTTTGAAACACGACACTTTTACCACTAGGCCGCGCACGATCGCTTGTTCTAATGATCAATCTTTGGACGTATTTAAAGTAGGCAGTGTATATTTTGCCGGAGACGGCAAACCTTTAGTAAACGTTAGTTTGCCGGATATGCACTGAACATGCGCAGTTACTGTTTTTTTGTACTTTAACATTTTCCGGTGACAAGTTTTAGTCTGGCTCCATGCCAAAATTATCGTTGTTACCTCGTATTCACAAGATGGGATTCAGACCATTTTATAATTTCGGACTTTTTTTCCCTTTTAAAAAAAATCCTCCAGAGCCACAAATCTGAAAAAGAAAATGTAATACTCTGCAAAAAATGTTTGAGACATGTTAAAATAATAAAAGAAGAATATTCTTATTTATTTGGGGATGAGAAAAAAAACACTTTAAAATGTGGTGCGGTCGGAATCGAACGCGAGTCATCCCGTTTACTAGAGCCTTTGCCTAACCACTACACCAAACGTGCTACAAAACTTTTGGTAGGAATTCCTCTTATAATTCAGCCCTATTTTAAAGAATACAGCGCCCTTTGTTGATATGGATTGCCGCCGGCAAACCTTTAGTAATCGTTAGTTTGCCGTCATAACCTCCGGCAAAATATCCACTATCTTTTTAGTACCATCAGAATAAACCAAATATTCTTAGAAAATAGAAATTGAATATTCATAAGGCAGTGGATATTTAGCCGGAGACGGCAAACCTTTAGTAAACGATAGCTTGCCGGATATTAGCCCGACTGTGTCTGGCCGTACAGTACTATCGCAAGCTCTGTAGTACGGCCAGACGCCCGATGCTTCCACAGAGACTGAATTTTTTTGGCCGCCGATGTAGCGATTTTGCTACATCTTTCGATCGCGATTATCTTTTCATCCAGGACACAAATTTCCAAAGTTAAGGTTCGTAGTCGTAGAGCAACTCATACCTTTTCGAAAAAAACGTTGTTTGGTCTCAATATTTTCATCCATCTGGCCACAAGACGAATTTCAGTCATCAGATTCCACAAATATCGTCCCCCATGCGATCCCCCATGCGATTTCAAAATGGCGGCCGCGCTGTAATGTATGCAATATGCAGGCGCGCCCGCGCAAACTCATGAATATGCATAAATAGTCTGTGACGCCGTGCTGGAATTTACTACCTTACGGAGACATGAACACAATAGGGAACAAAAGATTGTATACGTCTCCAGAAGAACATTTCTATAGATGAATACGTCTCCACAAGAATTTCATGAAATAGATATATGGATTTTACTCAAAAACTAGGAATTTCCAAGGTAGGTTGATCTGTCGCAAATGGAAGAGTTTTAGAAAAGGGATATTTAGTCCAAATTTCAGCCCAGGAAATTAATTCTGGTTAAAATAAGAGCATTTTGAAGCTTCAATTTCACACTCGAAAACTTTACTACACGAGAACAAAGAAATGTCTCCACAGGAATACAAATTCCAGAATGATAGCACGCACGTCCAAAAACACGAGGTCATACGTCACAGACTGTTTATGCATATTCATGAGTTTGCGCGGGCGCGCCTGCATATTGCATACATTACAGCGCGGCCGCCATTTTGAAATCGCATGGGGGATCGCATGGGGGACGATATTTGTGGAATCTGATGACTGAAATTCGTCTTGTGGCCAGATGGATGAAAATATTGAGACCAAACAACGTTTTTTCGAAAAGGTATGAGTTGCTTTACGACTACGAACCTTAACTTTGGAAATTTGTGTCCTGGATGAAAAGATAATCGCGATCGAAAGATGTAGCAAAATCGCTACATCGGCGGCCAAAAAAATTCAGTCTCTGTGGAAGCATCGGGCGTCTGGCCGTACTACAGAGCTTGCGATAGTACTGTATGGCCAGACGCAGTCGGGCTAGCCGGATATGCACTGAACATGCCCAGTTACTGTTTTTTTGTACTTAGAGTTAGACATTTTCCGGTGACAAATTTTAGTCTGGCTCCATGCCAACATTTATTGTAACTTCGTGTTCACAAGATGGGAATCAGACCATTTTACAATTTTGGACTTTATTTCCTTTAAAAAAAAATCCTCCAGAGCCATAAATCTGAAAAAGAAAATGTGATACTCTGCAATAAAATGTTTGAGACATGTTAAAATAATTAAAGAAGAATATTCTTATTTTTGGGGGATGGGGAAAAAAAAACCTTAGAAATGTCGTCAGTGGGGGTCTTCCCGCTCATGAGATTCGTTGCTTAT